TTTCTACTCCCAATACAGTCAGTTTGATTCAACCCTGTTCCTTCTTCACAATAGCTTCTCTTATGATTTCTCTCATCAGGAAACAAAGTAAAACACCCTTCCTCTCCCCAGAGGATGGCAACACTCATGCACAACCAGACCAACCTCTCAACATGAATTCAAAGTTCACAAGAAATTCCTGGTGAAACATAAAATACATGTACTACCTGAAGTGAAACCATTAAAACGGGCCAGGCTAATTCCAAACGGAAGTAGAAAATTTGATAGTTAGTGGGACAATGTCCGCTGTTATAATTACCACTGATGCATGTACCGGGTTGGTTGCCTGGATGTGTGTGTGTGCTTTCCTCCTAAGGGACTTGCAAACCTGTGCTGACTGCTAATGCTGCATGATGATTATTGAGCATTGCCGTTAGGAACAGGAAAAGATGCATGTTTTTATAACAATTTATGGCTGACACAGAGCAACTTATTACGATGAGGAAGATGCAGATATATGATAACGACATGAAGATTTATCTTTAACTCTTTTGGAATTGTATTGTGCTACAAACAAAATAATATTATACCAAAGGAAAAGTACATGTATTTCTTGATAGTCAGAGATAGTCTTGTTCAATCATTGAATAGACTATGCCTGGAATATCCAGTATTTGAGATTATCTTTGAGAAGTACACATACGTATACAGAGTGATAGAAAGTAACTACAGAGAATGAACACAGTCTTATTCCTGACAACATTAGGATTCTACAAGTAGTCTACACCACATGTTTCTGATTCTACAGCCATGCGGTCACACCTAGTGATATGTCACCTTCTATCAGCTTCACTCCTTTACAAACAATTGGAAGCAGCTAATTAGGGACAGTCTGAGCTCACTGATGAAACAGGAGTTCACTCCCAAACCTTGACTGTTCACAGAAAAAAGTAATAATTCAAAGCTTCTGGTATGGCACTCGGGGAAGGTTTTGCCCACACCAAAAATGACTTGGCAGTTTCTAGTGATTAGCACAAGCACTGGATCTACCTCTAACACCAGAAATTATCTCTTCCTTCAGCAAACGTAAAAACCTAAAAATAATTCTGGGTTTTAATTTTTAAAGGAGTTTGTGGGAAATTTGAAGATCAGAAGCTTTTGAACTTCCTACTCTGGTTACAAGAACGACTAACAGATTAATATGTAGACAGACAAGTTGTCTGGGAGTTACATGTAGGTTATTGAAAGACAACAGAAGTTGAGTGTGCCCATTAAATGCGCTGATAAAAACAGAATCATATCTTCTTCCTCCCTAAATAAGCATTGGCGTAGCTATGGGGGATGGGGGATGATACCCCTTTTTGAACTCCCAGGTGGTCCTCCCCCCAATTTCACCTGTTATCAGATCAATTTGACTTTTTGAATTTACAGTCTTCTGCTTATTGTGATTTAAGACAAAGAGAAATTAATTTCATGTTCATTAATGCCTCAATTGTGATATTAAATTCCCCAAACTCAAAACTGAGGAAGAAATAAAACAAGACCTCAAACAGAACAATTTTGCCAAGAATAAAAGTGCACCTTTACAAACTACTGCAATTCAAATTCTGATGTCTTAAATGCAAGCACATGAAGTGTACCAGTACAGAATTGTTACTGAAGAATAAAATGCCAGTCTGCTAGACTGACAAGCAAATTTATTGAGGGAAATAATCACTGGCAAACACCCATCACTTTACGTCAGTGGATTTCATCAAAAACAAGTCTTAATGCATTACCACTAACGCAAGTAACACATAATCAATAATCTGTTAAGATGGTTGAAGCATAGACAGTGAACAGGTGTAATAACATTGAGTTTGTCTGTCAATGTCAAGACACCAGGTGGAAGCAGATTGTTGAAGGATGCATCTTGGAATGAAAAAAACCCTGCAATGTCATCAACCAAGTTATACCATCAACCCTCAAAATGATGCCTTGTCAGCTACTGCTCAAAAATGGTTTCATCAAATCAATCAAGACACCTGTCATAAAGCATATAACATACATGTACATGTACATGCATGGTGACGAACACAAAAACACCTTGCAGGGCATCAATTCAATAAACAATGGCATCGAGTGATAAGTGGCTAATGCATGTAATACTCTTGAAATTATCCAGTCTGGTCTGGTTAACTGAATGTGGAAGCAAACAATTACACAATTCAACAACGACCTTTTCATTGTATAAATCGAAACAAATTCATAGTTCGGAAAAGAAAAGACCACAGGCCACAACAAAGGCAAACTAATCAATTGGAGAAATCAAATTCTTTCAACTTAGAAAAAATTCAATGAAAGACACAGGAAATAAGTAGATGTTTCAGTCCAGTGCAAACAGCAAGTACAAGTATCATCGCTGGAAACCAATAACTGAATTAATGCTTGGAAAACCGGTAGATATTAGAAAACAACAGTGAAACAGTTTCTGGGGCAAGTTGAAATGGCTGATCTAATTTCCTTAGGCTTAGCTCTACCTGATGTTAGATTACAATCACCTGCACACAAGACGAAACTGAAGTGAAACTCATGGGTCGACAGGAAACTCATTAATGTGCTATGAGGTTCCATGTGAGTCTGACACAGTAACCAACTTGTTCGTGACAGTGAATAAGATCTAAATGTTGGTTGGTGTATAAGGTCTGGGGCCAAAACACGTGCATTACCTGAGTACTTGATGTGGGAAATCCATGAACTTGGTGGGCGCGGCCACAAGATTGGAAAAAAGAGTGTGTTTTCTAACTTGGAGAGGCAATCCTTATAGATGAGGACAGGGATACTTGTAAGTCAGACATGACTTTTCCATCAAAATCTAAGGTGAAAAAGCCTCAGTCCATTAAAGAAACAATCATTGTTCATCACTATTGAAAGTTATCAAATGTTTCCATCTCAGTCTAGAAGTCGAGTCATTTGCTTCACTGTAAAATGCTACCAAAATTCTTCTATGTTGTGGGCGAAGGGCAGGAGGAGATTTGGATGACCACAGATATGTTAACCATGATGCTCCTGTATTGTCATGCTTATACAGTGCTGTCCCTCATACCAATCATCTTAAAGCAGGGTGGAGAGAGGCAAGCAGGGTAAAGTGACTTGCTCAAGGTTACAACATATGTGTACTATCAGCTGCTGGATTCCAACCTCTACCTAATTATCAGGTGTCACAAACCCTCCATGCACTAGCCATAAGCTGCATTCAAATTTCCCTTGTGGCCAAACATATCAACTACTCCAACCCTCCTACAGGCCAAATTCTTTCAACAAGTGTACTCGTTTTGTCCTGGATTTAGGAGGTTATTGCTTTTACTTCCAAATACTGGTAATAACTGAGAGTATTTTCAAACTGGTATAAGCCCAAATCAGTCAAGGGAACCACTTGATCCCATTCCCTGATAATAGACCGATTGTGCCCGCTAAGTCATGTGACCTATAGTGGGTTTCAAACAACAACAGCGTACTCCCACAGCAAAGTGCATTTTAAGTGTTGTTTACCAAAATACAAGGTAAATAACACTTTTGGTAAATAACACTTACATGTATGACACACTTTGCTGTGGGAGGACACCCGTGTTAATTGATGTTTGATACCCACTCTAGGTCACATGACTTACTGCGCATAGTCAGTCAATGCCAAAAGACCAAATCAGTGACAGATACCAGATACTATGATTCCATAAAAAGGCACAAGACCGAACCAGCGATGGGTACCAGTTGCAAGTAATGTACACCTTTAATTCCTTCAATACAGACTGACATTAATCCCAATGACAACTCAAAGAGGGAAACCAGTTAGTACCATACCCTGACAAAGTAGCATCACACCATATATTCTTTGACAGTAACCAGAAAGCAACCTCAATTAATTCTTCATGGTACTCTTCAGTTAAATCTACCTGACATAACGGAAGGTCAAATCCACACCTTAAAATGAAATCTCACCTACTCTGAAACCTAGCCATCTTCCCCTTCATGCCTACAGTGGATCTGGCCATCTTCCCCTTCATGCCTACAGTGGATCTTTCATCGATGCACAAATTGCAAATGCTGGATGAAACCGAACTGGATTTAGAACTGTGGCAACCAGTTCACCCGTGACAGGAAGTAATGAAACATTGACACAATGACAATGTCATGCCTAGTCATGGAGGAACTATAACTGTCTGTTTCTTGTCACATCATCAGGCCAATTAACAAAAACATACATGTACTCTCCTTTCATAGATACTTGTTTGGGAATTTGTAAAGTTAAGCTAGAAGGCTTTGCTTACTAAAAGAACTTCAGTAAGACTAACAGGTGTAGCCTCTTATTATCTCTGACACTACACAATTTACAGATGAATAGGGCAGATCTTGTGCTACATCAGCAACAATTCTATAGTTTCTACCACAGATCAAAAATACAAAGAACTGTATTTTAAAGCATAAGTGAACATTCATTTTGTGTTGTTTGTTGACCAGTGTAGAGTACAAGTAGGTCTGAAAAATACAGGTGCTTATGAAAGGATGGTGTCACCTGCCATCCTTAAAGTCATCTGTCAATGTCACTCTTGCCCCTGGCAATGTCAACTGTTGATGCTTGCCTCCAAAACACTTATGAATTTATGAATAATGACAAGCCAGTGGACAACTTAAAGATTCCAGCAGGTTCCACTGTACATGGATTCAAACAAGGGATGGTTAACAGTTTATTAAGGATACTACTGGTACCCATGTCACAGAAACCAGCAAGAGATGAAAGTGAACAAGAATACACAAATAATAAGCTTGTATTCATGAGGCAAATGCCAGTTGGAATAATAAGTAAAAGATTTAGCTGAGGGAAAATGAACCATTACAATGAAAATACATGAAAACATATCAAACCCTTTCATAATAATACTGTACATCTTAAAGTTGGCACTGAAATAAAAAGGACTTTGAAATAAACACGGAATGCCAAGTTATGGATCCACATGTACTTGATAAAATCTATCCCAGCATACCTTGGTCTCCAGTGCATGACATTCACTAAGTAGATTGCTGTTCTCTTGCTCCAAGTTGCTGATGTGAGTCTGGCACTTCTTCAGATCATTCTGAAACAAAAATCAATCTGCGTTTAAGAGCACATCTTCACCATGACATCTCTGTTTCTCAGGCACATTAGGCTATGGACGTGACCAAAATCACCATCAAAGTAATTCAATAGTTTATGTGAATTACATCAAAACTTGGTATCTATGACTAGAACTTGAGGAGAGATTTTGACTCCATTCACAGTGATTAGAATAGGCACCACCTCCACTAGCCTAACACCAACCTCCAGAGTCTGTACCGTCGCGCTGTGTTCTTCCTTCATCTGCTCCATCTTGGTCTTGTACTCCATGACACTGTTCAGCATGCCTTGCATCTTAGTCAGGTCTTGTTGGAGAGCCTCCAGTCGTGTCTTGTAGGTCTCTCCTTCAAGAAGAGCATCCTTCAGTCGTTTCTCAGCATCTAGTCGTGATTGTCGCTCCTCAGCCAAGTCTCGCATGATGGCGTCCCGTTGCTGGAGGCAGAAAAAAACAAATCCAACAAATATTATGCTAATTATTTTATCACATGGATGTCTGATCTTCATTTGAATCTCTTCAGGTAACAATGTGGTCAAGACCACACAGGAATATGATGGAATTTTGCACTGGAGCGAAACCTTGAAATAAGAACAATATGGAGGACATGTGTGATAGTCATCTGTTTCTAATTTCCAGTTGGAATTAACAAAGCAAATATGACTCAAAGAGGGCTGGGACATGACACTCTCTTCCCTCCGCTGCAATTTGCTGCAACAACTTCCTTGTATTCAACCAGTTTCATGTACCTTCTGCATGTAAATCAATTTACCTCCACTATCCCCTAAATTTCTTCAATTGTCAAATCCTCATAGGCCTTTTCAGTCTTCACACAGCTATTAAGTCAGCCAAGATGAGTGGTAAGAGTTTCTGAAGGTTATCAACCAGTTGACATTTCTGGAGTTCTGATATCAATAAATCTGTCACTTTTTCTAAAAAAAAATTGAGGCTACCCATATGAAATATCCTTCAATTGCAAGCAACATTTTAGTTTTTCATTTGCCACATTCTTTAAAGCTTGACTTGGTGGTGTGTGGATCTACTTGAACACATCCTTCAACTGGAGGGCAACCAAGCATCTTAATTTCCTCCCCAGCCAAACAAATATTGCGCTATTACTGCACTTCCTGTTTCCAGTTGTCAAATATTGCAGCACAGCTGAAGCTCTAAGGATTACAGCATCAGCAAAAGTATGCCAGGAATCAAGTGTAAAAACATAATTCACTGGTGGCAAGACCATCTGCTTTGGATGTGCCATCAAGCAACAAGACAGATGCTGTCACAAGATTGGATTTGCCGATGGACCGCATATCTCTCATAAAAATTACAGGTGAGACCTTACAAGGTTACAAGCTCAATGACTAATAATTGAATATTTACAAGTCCTTCCCCTCTGCTTGAGAAAGATTTCAAATTAGTATTCTCGATCTCTTTGTAGAGGACGAATGGCCCCCCTCGCTTTGCAAGGCCAAAGTGGACAGACACCTTCAAATGTGATAAATTTTGCACGGCCATTTTACTTTCTGGTGATGAAAATTTTAAAAGCCTGTCCATGGCTCAAGGGAGATTTATGTAAGCCTTTAACCAGACTGGACACTTCCGCAAGGTTATTTTCAATTATTTCATCCTTTGCCCTCCAGTGAAAGTGAAACTGTCAAGTCCGATCTCATCCACACTTTAACTAATGGAGGGACAAGTCAATTTTATTAAATTTTGAGGTGTCTGTCCATTTTGTAAAGGTAGACCACCTTAACCTTTGCAACATTTGAGCCACTCATGAAATGAATACTCAGATTTAGGAGTTATTACTGCTATTTTGCTTTTGTTCTTGCATATTGATAGGTAAAAATCTTTCACATCAACAATGAAAGTTTTTCTCCGAATGGGAAACAACTTAGCCACATCTGCAAAACATGCTCCATTCTCAAGTAAATTCATTGGGGTACAATTTTGGCAAATCTCTTCAATGAATTGCTCATTACAGTATAGTTAAAAGTTTTGAACATAAATCATACTGTTCTTGTGTTCAGCCACCTCCTGATGACACTAATTCACATTATAATTGCAGCAGATGAAGTAACGTTTTGTGCTGACACTACTGACTTTCTTCAAACATTAAGAGACACAAACCCAAGTTGGATTAACAAATGCTAACTCTTGGTGGTCACTTCATCAAGATTTGTGCAACACTTCTAACTGCATCGTTGCTTTTTCAAAACTCTGAGAAAAGATGTATGTTGCAGAACGAATATTGCACCTGCTTGTGGCCCAGGGTAACACACTCTCAACCTCCACAGGCTATTTGGAGCCTCTGTGTGTGTTCAAACTCAGTGGGTAATCACTCAAGAGCGTGGACATTGCAAGTACAGACATTGAGAGGCAAGCTGTTAAAAGGCCCTCCATGTTTAGACATCAAGAATCCCAGCATGTCATCCAGCATAAAGTAGTTTAGAAAGCTAAAAAGCAACTACATGTACTTTTCAATTCTGTTCTACATGTTGAATGTCATCTTTGTGAACAAAAGCCTGACAAACAAATCTTGACCGTGATCAAAAACTAAAGATTAATAAGATCATACTGATATTTCACAAATAGTCACACCTGGAATATCAAACTTGCTACATTAGAATAATCTGCAAGATTGTAGACTCACTTTGTTGATTTGTTCACCTTGACTTTTTCATAAAAATCCATTTCATTTCGCATAAAAGACATGCTACTGTCAAAAAATAGTTTTATCCTGATCATATAGATATTTGTCAAAAGCTATTCTTCTGCTCAAGACTAAATAATAACTCTTAAATATTTAATTATCTGTGAGAAATACCCCTGATAATCGCCATTTAAAAATTAAACAAACCAGCTGCTTACCTCTGCGTACGTAATATCCATCTTTGCAGTTTTTGTGAAATCCACAAATCTACAACATAAAGCTCATGGTTCCTCAAGAATTAAAGGGTCCAAAGCCCACTCCCCCTCCCACTGACACCAGACTTACGAATCTACGTCCTGTTAACCCCCTGCCATCCTTAGGTACTGACTAAACCAAGCAGGATTGGGTTAGCAGTAAGCCAGGCCCAGAGTCGGTCAGATCCACAAGCTCGGCTCGGTCATGGACAGGGTCTATTACAGGATAAGAGTCAATCATCGTAACAGGGGAGGCCAGTGTGTGAGAGTATAGGGTCCAGTCACTGCCACTTCCTGCATAATCCCTCTGTCTCACCGCACAGTTGCTACAACCGTGCACTATGGGTTTGTTTTCCTTCTGGTGAATCGACTCTGTCTTAAGCCCTGGCTTGGAAAGAGAAGGATGGATCATACTCGAGTAAATGTCAATGCACTAGAGATTAATTTAATTTTGTAAATAAATAATGATTAATTTCAATGGTATGAACTTGAAATAAGAATTGGGACAATCAAGATTTTGTTGGAGAAGTCAGCACCTCATTTACAAAGTATGACCAAAACAAAATATGAATTGTTACACAAAAATATGTTATATAACCAAAAGAATACAGTTTTATCAAAACTACACAATTCTTTCCACACAAATATGCACATTCAATAATATCACTGACTTTGATGCAAGACTTTGACTACCACAGAATGACAAAATCATTGATACATTTTTGCAGTGCATTTTAAAGTGAAAATTTCTGTATCCCTCTGATCCAGGTTGCTTATAAACAAAAACCCCTCTCCTAAGACAGAAGTCAAGGTCTGCTCTCAACCATCAGCACAGAAGGAACTTCCAACCAGAAGCATTAACATCCCTAAGAAATGAACAGGTCACTGCCATTTCCTGTCTGAATTAGACTAAACTGAAGGGGTTGTGTTCAGCCTATTTATCGACTAATTTGATAGTTCCCCTGCCATGCCCTCCTCCCCTGGGGTCACAGACGCTACTACAGAGGTTTTGGGGTCATCTCTATACACAGACAAAATACACTAAAAATAGTTTTGTCAGAGCTCCAAATGGGAGGAGAGAGACAGCTGGAATGCACTGACTCAAGATCGGTTGGTTGCCCTACTCATCCTTCTCAGTAGGAAGTATTAAACTCTACTAGGACTGCTGAGAAGCAATACATGTAGGTAAAATGTTTCAAGGACACAGGGCATTTTCAAAGCTTGATGCAAGGATCTAAGTTCATGTCTTCTACAATGAGCTGAGACAAAGCACAATACCAACTGTGTTTAAGACTGGGTGTTTAGTGTAAACAACTTGGGGGTTACAGGTTCAAATCCAGCTGCTGGACATGAGTTGTGGCCTCAGGCAAGTCACTGTATGTCAACTTACTTAGAATTATTCACCAAAGAGTATAACTGAGTACTGGCATTAGCTGGGGAAGCAACCTTCAATGGGATTAGAAATTTATACTCCCAGTCATAATAGGCCAAACTGTCTCAGATTAAAGCTGTGATTGCTCCATCAAGAAGTAAGGTTGATGCTCTCATGAACTGAAACAGGTGGGCCACTCAAGGCATGGCCAATAGATGCTACGGAGAACTGGTCAAAGCCTGAAGGAAAAGCCCAAAGATAGAGTATAAACTCTGAACATCATTGACCTCCCAGGTAGACCTTGTTCACACTTACATACATGTATGATACCTGTAGTAATGGTTGATGCATTAAATTGGCGGGTGCTAAGTGGAGTGCGGCAACTGACACAAGAGGTAGACGCAAAGGACTTGACAGTCACCATGCACGTAGCGGTATA